TTTTTTTTTTTTGTCTGTCTTTATGCCCTGGTTTCCAAAGTGCATAACGAGGCTTGATCTGAAGAGGTATAAAGGTGGTAAGGTGGCTCTGAAGGTTGATATTGTCTAATAACGAGCCAGCTCTCAATATTTGCTGTTCCAGCTGTATAGTGATGTCTGATTACACTGCTGCTGTCAGTAAACTGACTTCTCCCTCAAGCATTAATCTGCCTATTAAAAGTCTCCAGCCCATGTGTTCGCAGCTGCAGCAGTACATACTGATGTTAACATTTTATGTTCAGGCGCCTCTTATCAAAACATCTCACTGTGAGCTCAGCTGCAGGAGTCCAAAGGTCACAGCATCCAGGCCCAGGAGATAGCACAATGGTAGATGACTTCCCATGCATGGACAGTACAGAATCTAAAAAATGTACAGATGATAAAGATGATGCAGCATTTGCAGTTCTTGTAGTCAGTTTGCCCCAGTTTGAGACTGGGGAAAAAAACGGTGTGAGAACCAGCAAGATGAATTGTAAAGTGCCCAGGGTTGTTCTCGCTCCTCAAAATCAGGCAAATGCTGCAAAACTGATCAGACAGCATATGATCAGTTTTGCAAATGATGAATGAAGTCAAAATTATTTAACAAACCAAATTTGGCATTGTCCAAACTAACTGACCTAATTGTATTTACACAGACTTAGATTATTAATTCAGTGGTACTGAATTTCTTTAAACTCTTTTGCTGTCAGTGATAATGTTTATATGTAGCATCAACCTCTCACAATAAAATGGATATGTCGAGATGTTGAAGATCTAAAATGTATGGTATAAATATTTATTTTAAAGCCTGACATTGCTTTATCATTGAAGATTTAGCCATCATGTAATTTAATCTTTTAATGGTGCCAGTAATAAGTTTTACGGACCATTTATAGGGATTTAATGTAATTGTGATGGAAACACAGAGACAAGGGCATAATTGTAATTTTGTGCAGAGAAAAGAGAGCTCTACATGTTTGATGGGCAAGTTAACGTATATTTTCTGGTCAAAAATGATGTGGAGTAGGACTTGAGGCATTGATCTGTCTGTATCGGTTATAATTCTTGAATCATTGTTTTCTGCAATTTGTTTTGATCAAATGTGGTAATTTTTTCTCCTGACAGAATTCAAGTCATGGCTTATGAGGCACAATGTTCCACGGTCGGCCGGCCATTGGTGTTTGCTAATGAAGAGCGGAGGGCTGTTCATTCCTGGTCCCGGATCTCATCAGCAGGACATAATGTCCTCCTAGATGCTTTGAAGATTCTCAGCCCAATGTCCCGTGACCTTTCAAGCACTGAGGAGCTTGTCACCTTCCTGCAGGAGCTAAGTGAGGAGGGTCACAAGCCCACCGTGCTTCGCAGCAAGGATGTGTATGACTACCGGTCGTGCACAAGCCAACCCCTGACTGAGGACATGCTGAGACCACCAAACAGGAATGTCAAACCCACAGCTAAGAGGCGGAGGAGAAGGCCTCTGACCAAGAAGAGGGAAGTTCACCCATCCTGGAACACCTCTGAGAGGAGCAACCCCAGGATTCAAGGCATTCGCCCTCCAGAACCATTGGTGGACCATCGCATTATCGTTTGTAGCAGGACACCCAGTCGGATTGTGGCAAATTCAAATGTGGACATGCAGCCGTGCCTCAGACTGACCAGTATTGAAGGTCTATCTGGCTTCCACACAGCCAGACTCCAAATCCACACTACTCCACACTCATCCTCTGAGGTGGCCTCTAGTGGCTTTTTACAGCAACAGTACCCGCCAGCGATTTCAGGAATACCTTCTCAGCCTTCTCAGAACGGTGGCGGGGCACCCACCAAAGCTGTGGCCTTGTTCAGCCAGAAGACTCTGTCCTGCCCTATCCGACTAGATGGTGCTCTAATTGGAGACTCTGCACCGGTTTTGTATGCTAATGGTCGGGCATTCCCACAGACTGACACAGAGCTGACCAGCAACGGCTGGAGGAGCAATGGTCTCCATAGAGACGTTCATGGCCCCAAGGATCTGAACAACCCAACCCGGCAGAGAAATAGTTGGAAGGACAAGAAAAGTCTTAGAGGGAAAGTGATAAAGGTAGATGACTCTCGGTCTGTGGAAGAGGCCTGCAGAAAAGCGCAGAAGATACTACAGGTCAACCTTTCCCCAGTGATTCAGATCCAACCTCTCAACCATGTGCTGAGAGGCTTCAGATACCAGAACAAGTGACAATTCCTGTTTCTTTTAGCAGATTTTAGTGTTTTACAGTAGCCTCCACCGGGAGGTATCCGGTGTTGAAGATTGACAAGATGTTGATCTGTTTGTGGAACTGCTGGTTCCTGATGGAGACATCTGGGATTTAAAGGCATTTGAAGTTAGGTGGTATTTTCCTAGCAGGCTGGGAAATGATTATTGGCCAAATGCTGGTACATTTTCACTGTTGATGTTTGTTTATGCTACGCAACACTTCAAGCAAACATCCTTCTTTGCTTTGAGTTGTTTGGGACATAAGTGAGCTTGTACCAGAATCAGCACCTTTACGGTGTAGAGTATTTAAACTCATTTGAAGTAGAGCGCCATTTTTTTTAATTTAAATATAAAGGTTGTTTCGTCTTTCTTTTTTGTTTCCAACTTGCTATGTCACTCTGCAACACCACTGGAAAGAAGGAAAAAAGTGAAGCTAGTGCTGAGATAACCACCGCTGTTTAATTTCTATAAATAAACTAAATTAAAGGAGGGGAATTGTATCTTCCTTCTGTGAAGTTTTTGTTTCTGCTGGAAATCAGGACGGTGTTCTGTGCATGAGTACAGCATTGAACCAAACATTTAAAACTAGAGACCATCACAAAGTGTTCCTTAGGTTTAGAGAATCAGTAAACAAAAATAAAATGACCATTAAATAATCTTTGTCTTAAAATGACAAAATATGAATTGGTTGAAGAAAATAAGTATGGAAGAGTTCTCAGGTCTTGTTATCAGTCTTTTTGAAGGTACCGGTTATGGTGATATCCAGCTTCAAAGTTTATTCTAACTTTGCATGGTTCACAGTTCAAAATAATAAAAATAATTGAGTTATTTATTACACTGAGCATTTGTGCACTATCTGAAACCATCCAGTTTACCTTGATGGTTTGTAAGCCATCTTTCTTCTGATTGGCTGCCCTTCACATAGTTGGCAAAACTATTACCCACTTACATCTAACTTACTGTGATAAAGCCAGCCAAAGCTGGGTTGGAGATGGCCTTATAAGGACATCCTCTCTCACTTACATCACACAAAGCCAAGAGTAGAGTCATCTTGGTGCACTGGGATTAAAGGGATATTTTTATTTTATTTTTTTAATGTTTGGTTAAATTGATCATGTAATGGTGTAAACCTATAATAGCAAATGAGAAAAAGCATAATAATTCCACACAGATTTCTGATAGTAAAAAACTTCAAGCTTAAATCTCAATATTTTCTCATGTTTTCTAAATTTAAAACCCAGGTTATACAACTTGATTTATAATTTTTAATTAATAATTTCATTTCCTCTACTTAGTGCGTGGCTCTGGTTTATACCCATGAGTTAAAACTATTTCACATGAGGGGAAAAAAAAAGAAAAAATATCCAATGCATGTACTCAGGATCAGCTGCTGCTCCAGTTTCCTGTTTTCCAGTACCTAACAGGCAGAAAACAGAGAGGAGTCCTGATGGAACACATTTGTTTGACTGAGTTGGAGACATTTGTGGTGGAGTGTGTTTACTTGAGTGGCAGGGCAGTTTGTTTCCTGTCCAGTGTTACAGCAAGTTTGATCTACTACCAGAACTCATGTTCTGTATTTTGTTGAGCTGAATTTGCCCAATTGTTTTTTTTTTTTTTGTTTTTTTTAAACTTCCCAGCTTTGATTTGAGTGATGTCGCCCACCTTCTGACTAAACAAAATGCACTTTGACAGTGTGCCAGTGCTTTACTGTCACCTGTTCCTGACATGGAAGTCTTTAATGGTCTTTTCCGCTGCTTCATTTAGAAGATATCTGAAAATCTGATTTCTTTTAACTCCATACTGGTTTCCTCTACAGGTGCTAATCTTCCAAAGGTGGTGCTGAACAAAAAGATTAGCGCAACATAGTTTCTCGTCTTCTTAGTCAACTTGATGCATTTAAGAGCAGGAACTTCCGGTTGAGGAACTGATAGTTCGTCTGCCGGTTGGGATGAGCACGCCAAACCGCCTTTTGTGCTTTCCAAAGGGTTTCTACTGTGAACAAGTAAGGAATCTGTTTTCATGTTAGTTGTGACAAACATCTGTATTTCCCTCCAGAAATCCACATTCCACTAGACAAATATTGTTGCGTGCCAACTTAAAAAAAAAATAAAAAAATTAAAAAAAAATCAGTTTGATATACATAAAAGATCTTAAAGTCAGTCTCCATAGATTTTCTGAAGCTTTTAGTGAACGCAAGACCATTAAATGAAGCTCTAAATCCAGAAAATGTAACTTAAATTCCACTGTCTGCCTGTACAATCCCAAGAAAATAGACAAATTTAATCTCCAGCCCAGTAAATAATGCCTGTCTTTGGATTTCCAAAACACTGATGTTCAAATGCTGTTTTCTTATGTGGGATCTGTAGCAGAAAGAGCACATTAAATTTGATGATTGATCTAGCAATATGTAATTTAGGTTACAAAGTAAGATTGAGGAATTGGAAACATCCCCACGTTGTTTGAACTGAGACCACATCTGCTGTCTGGCGTCTGTCTTTGCAGATTACCCACATCTGTCCTGGTGAACTTTTTGTTCTGGGAGTCTGGTTTGTTGTACCCCCTCGCAATTGGTCTGTCTTGCTCATGCCCTTTTCTAGATCTGCTTTCTGTTAGTCTTGTTTGTGCAACACTTGTATAATATTGTATTTCCTACATGAACTTTGAAAAATGTTTTTGTTCAATAAAACTGATCTGAAATGTATCTGTACAGTCTTTTATCCACCTGTAGATCCACTAACGCAGGTGCCCTATGATCAGACATTTCCTGTATATTTATCTAGTAACCCTAACTCAAATCCTGTGGTGTTAAAACATCTTGCTGTGAGGGGGGGGGGGAATCAAAACCTCTAATGGTTGAGCCACAACATTTAATTAACGATATCCATGTGTTTCTATGAATTTTTCCATTTTTCTGCTGCTTATGTGGGGTCAAGTTGTGGGTGCAGCAGTCTTAAGCAGACAAGCTCAGACATCGCTCTCCTCAGCCATCACCTCAAGGATATTGAGGCCTTCCCAGCTGAGGGAATCTCTCTCCAGCATGATCAAGCTCCTTACACTATCTCTAATTAAGAGCCAGGTAGATTTTTAGAGGAAAGTAATTTATGCTATCTCATTCATTTGGTCAGTAACTAGAACTTGCAGTCAGGATAGGAGGAAGGTGGAAATACTGACTGGCTGGTAAATCGACAGCTTCACCTAAACATTGGTGCAGCGTCAGAGTAAAGAAAATTCTGTACAGAACTGTTGTAAAAGTGATAGCTCAGTCTCCTGCTTCACTTTTCCTTCATTCATAATCAAGACCTCCAAATACTCAGAACTCGTCATCTGGGGAAGCAGCGCCTCCCTGATCTCAAGTGGGCTCTTCACCTTTTCTGGCCAATAATAATGGCCTTGAATTGGAGGTGCCAATTTTCTTTCCCACCGCTTGAAATTCTGCCTCAAAATTGTTGTCACCACCTGAAGCCAACAGAAACAGATCATTGCAAAAAGCAAACACAACGCCATGAGGCCACCAAAGCAAAAAAAAATTTCTGCAATCTGGCTACATCTGGAAAATTTCCATAAATATTCTGAGCAGAACTGGTGACAAAGGACAACCATGGTGGAGTAAAACACCCACCGGAAATGGGTCAGTCATTAATGGCAATATGGACCAAGCTCTGCGTGTACAGGGATACATATAGGGTCTTGGGGTGAGCATACTAAACGACGTCCAGAGGATGGTCTGTTTATTCAACCTCATCTCTGGTGCTGGTGACCACCTCTTAATTTTAAATACATGTAGAAATTGAGGGTTCTTGGGAGGGGCCATGCTGACACTGCTGTTATAGGGCTGTTTTGGTTGACACATCTCTACAATGTTGTGTGGAGATCAGGGGCGGTACCTCTGGACTGGTAGACCGGGGTGGTGATTCCCATCTTTAAGAAAAGGGGCCGGAGGGTGTGTTCCAACTATAGGGGATCACACTCCTCAGCCTCCCTGGGAAAGTCTATACCAGGGTGCTGGAAAAGAGTCTCCGTCTGTTAGTCGAACCTCGGATACAGGAGGAACAATGCGGTTTTTGTCTTGGTTCTGGAACACTGGACCAGCTCTTTATCTTCTCAAGGATACTTGAGGTTGCATGGAAGTTTGCCCAACCAGTCTATATGTGTTTTGTGGATTTAGAGAAGGCTTTTGACCGTGTCCCTCAGAGTGTCCTGTGGGAGGTGCTTTGGGAGTATGGGGTGTTTTACCCATTGCTACGGACCATTTGATCCTTAAACAACCGATGCAGATGGGCTCCACCAGGGCTGCCCTTTGTCACCAATTCTGTTTGTAATTCTTATAGACAGAATTTCTTGCGCCACTTGGCTCAGTCTTGGGTGATCTCAAAATCTCATCTCTGCTTTTCTCAGATGATGTGAGAAAAGCTTCATATCAGGATTCATCAGGTGATGGCCTCCAGCTCACACTAGAGCGGTTTGCAGCTGAGTGTGAAACGGTAGGAATGAGAATCAGCACCTCCAAATCTGAGTCCATGGTCCCCAGCCAGAAAACGGTGGAGTGCCCACTCCGGTCAAGGACTAATTCCTGCCCCAAGTGGAGGAATTTAGGTATCTCAGGGTCTGTTTCATGAGTGACTGAGGGAGCAGGAGATCAACAGACAGATTGGTGTTGCAGCTGCAATGATGCAGACGCTGTACCGGTCTGTCGTGGTGAAGATAGAGCTGAGTGTAAAAGTGAAGCTCTCAGTTCACTGGTTGATCTACGTTCCTACCCTCACCTATGGTCACGAGCTATGGGTAGTGACCGAAAGAATGAGATTGTGGATACAAGCAGCAGAAATGAGCTTCCTCCGAGGGGTGGCTGGCCTCTCCCTTAGAGATATAGGATGAGAAGTTTGCCCATCTGGGTGGGGCTCAGAATTAGAGCCTCTGCTATTCCACATTGAAAGGAGCCAGTTGAGGTGGTTTGACCATTTGATAATGATGCCTTCTGGCTGCCACCTGAGTGAGGCGTTCCGGGCATGTCCCACCAAGAGGAGGTCCCAGTGTAGACCCAGGACACACTAGAAAGATTGTATGTCTCGGCTAGCTTAGGAACGCCTTGGTGTTCCCCTGGACAAGCTGGAGGTGGCTGGGGAGAGGGAGGTCTGGGGATCTCTGCTTAGGCTGCTGCCCCCACGACTTGGCCCGATAATCGAAATAAGATGGATGGTTTATAGATGGATGGATGTTGACATTGTTTTCATGTACCATTGGGATCCAGTTTGACCATCTCTTGCAAGCAAGAATAGATATGATTATTAAGGTTAAATGTACAGTACCTTGGCAAAAATATTCGCTCATGCATCCAAATCATTAAATTCAAGTGTTCCAACCACTTCCATCAGCACAAGTGTATCAAGCACCTAGTATGCAGAGTACATCTGCAAACATCTGTGAAAGAATGGATTGCTCTCAAGAGCTCAATGAATTTCAGCATGGTACTGAGATAGACTGCCACCTGTGCAGCATGTCCAGTTGTGAAATGTCCTCACTACTAAATGCTCCACCGTCAACCGATAGTGGTGTAAGAACAAAGTGGAAGTGATTGAGAATAAAGCAATTTAGCCACGAAATGGTAGGCCATGTAAAACCACAGAGTGGATCAACTTCATGTGGCCTTCAGATTAGATCAAGAGGTCTAACCCAGTCTGTAGAGCGCTTTAGATTGTACAGCAGAGGAAATGTGTTATCTGGAATGACAAATCATGTTTTTCCATCTGGGTTTGGCAGTTGGCAGGAGAAAAGTACTTGTTAACTGTATTGTCCTAATGTAAAGTTTAGTGGAGTGAATTTATGGTATGGGGTTGTTTTACAGTAGTAGTAAAGTGAAAGGAATTCTTAATGCTTGAGCATACTGAGACATTTTGGACAATTTCATGCTCCCAGTTTGGGGACAGCCCCTTCCAGTTCCAACATGACAGCGCACCAGTGCACAAAGCAAGGCCCATAAAGATAAGGATGAGTGAGTTTGGTGTGGAAGAACTTTCCTGACCTCACCAGACCTTTGGGATGAATTAGAGCAGAAACTGCGAGACAGGCCTTCTCATACAGCATCAGTGTCTGACCTCACAAATGTACTTCTGGAAGAATGGTCACAAAAACCCATGAACACATAAACGCACCCCTAAACCTTTTACAAACTGAGCCACGAAATGGAAAGCCTTCACTGGAGAGTTGAAGTTGTTATAGCTGCAAAGGGTGGACTGACATTATATTAAACTCCATGGATTAAGAATGGAATGTCACTCAAGTTTATATTAGGGAATACTTTTGGCAATATAATGAACACTGACCTCATTAATTAAACTTTGGCCAAGTTTAATATGAGCATAGACCAATGTAACTACACACACCCACAGGAAAATTAGTAAAACCATAAAAGATTTTTCTTTTTTAAAAAGGAGCTGATCAATAAGGCATATGGGTGGGTTTTTACCTTTTTCAGGGCCCAACAGAAAGCACAAAGCATGAACTCCATGGGGGCTTACAGGTGGAGTAGCATCCGATTTCTCAGACTCCCAGAGGATGAAGTCTCCACTCCTCGGGAACAATCACAGATTTCAATGCTGTGAGCTGCTTTGAAACAGCAGGTAAAGTGATCAATGGACTCCTACTGTTTTTAAAACAGACTGAAGATAACACTGTTTAAAAAAACAAAACAGAAAAAAACCATATAATCTTATCAAAAACTAACAGACAGAATTTGTTCTTCCATCTAAATAAACAAGCCACCTAATCAAAACACCTTTTAAACTAAAGATTTGTTTGAAGAAAATTTTCGCTTATATAGGTTAATGAGATATGAAAAGTTTGCTCTATTCAAATATGTAAATTCAGGTTTTGACTGTTTGAAAGGAAAATGATCCAAGTTACTTTTGTCCTCAGTGATGTACCCCATTGTTTTGTGACATTGTGCCTTAAAGTCTCAACTGGAATATTTCAGCCACACCCATCTTTGTTTACTTTCCTTCCTTGGGTCAAAGATTATCTGAGCATTAGGGTTAGTAGTTGATTGACGTATTCGTGCTGCAAACACAGTAACGTCAGCAATCACAGGCTGTTGGACTGAGTGTGGCTGGTTGCAAATTTTTAACTACCCAACCTGAACAGTTGGTTTGGTTTACACCATACAGCTGCTTCCCTTCACCATTTGAAATAATGCAGGATTGAAACACTCAAATTGCTCATCTTAAACTCATCGTAGTAACTATGTCCATATTTTATACTCAATACCAAAATCAGAAAAAAAATACCCAATGCTCAATTGCACTTTCATTGGGTTTTAAATGAAGTTTAGGACTGAACATGTCACCCATTTTCTAAGTAAACACATTTTTAAAGTTGCTATTGATGAAAAATTCACACCAGATTCTATTAACAAATTTTGTACTCTTCATCAAATCAGCAAAGAAACACAGAAAAGAAGGTCAGACACCAACTGGGAAGAATCCGAAGGACAAACGGAACAATTGTCATCCCTTGTGTAGTAGGTTTATCAGAGAAACTCAGGAGAGTCTTTTCCAAGCATGACATCCCATTGTACCTCAGACCCAACCATGCACAAAAAACTGGATCATCCTAAAGACAAAACTCAATCACAAACTTAACAGCTTAGTTTATGCTGTACAGTGCAGCAAGTAATGCTTAGACGTCTACATTGGTTAGACCAAACAC